TTAGTAGAGACAAGGTTTCACCGTATTGACCAGGCTGGCCTTGAACTCTTGACCTCAAGTGATCCACCCACCTCGGCCTCCCAAAGTGCTGGGATTACAGGTGTGAGCCACCGCGCCTGGCCCGTTAGTGTCTTCTGAGTTGATTCATCTTCGTATTCGCCATACTACTAAGCATATACATACAAATTAATAGGCAATTAGTAAGTATGTATTTACTTGTAAATCTCACATAATGTATCTTAAAGCGATCTTCTTGGAGAGCCAGTAAGGTGTCTTCTAATTTTTTCTTGCCCATATTTAATATAATAGATGTGTGGTGGTTCTTTCATAATGAAATAAAACCTGTTTATTTTTACACAGCTTGTTTTAGAGAGGTGGCTTGTATTAGTATTAGCAAAATTGAAGGTTTCCTATTCAGTTACTGTTTTGAGAGTAAATTTACTGGATTCCATAACAAACTGTTTGCAAAACATTACTTGGGATTTTTAAAGAAGGTATTTTTATATTCTCTCTCCATTGTATTTTAGGGAAAAAAAAATCCCTAAATATTTAAGTTTCATAGTTTGAATATAGATAGCATAGTTGTTTGTTAGTTTTCAGATTTTTATTTTTGTTTTTGAGATAGAGTCACGCTCTGTCGCCCAGGCTGGACTGCATTGGTGCAATCTCAGCTCACTGCAAGCTTTACCTCCTGGGTTCACGCCATTCTCCTGCCTCAGCCTCCCAAGTAGCTGGGACTACAGGTGCCCGCCACCATGCCTGGCTAATTTTTTGTATTTTTTAGTAGAGACGGAGTTTCACCATGTTAGCCAGGCTGGCCTCGATCTCCTGACCTTGTGGTCCGCCCACCTCGGCCTCCCAGAGTGCTGGGATTAACAGGTATGAGCCACCGCGTCTGACCTAGTTTTGAGATTTACCCAAAAACTTGGAAAACTTATGTCTACACAGAAACCTGCACATGAATGTTTTTGGGAATTTATTCATAAGTGCCAAAATTTGGAATCAGTCAAGATGTCCTTCAGTAGGTGAATGGATAAATTGTGGTATATCCATACAACGGAGTATTATTCAGCAATAAAAAGAAATGAGCTATCTATGAAAAGATGGAGAAACCTTAAATGCATATTGCTAAGTGAAAGAAGCTAGTCTCAAAAGAAGACTACGTATGATATATAATTCCAACTATATGACATTCTTGAAAAGGCAGAATTATAGACTGTGGTAAAAATTAGTGGTTACCAAGGGCTTGGGGGTGGGGAAGGTGGGAAGGTCAGATAGGTGGAGCATGGGGGATTTTCAGGGGCATTAAACTAAAACTGTTTTATATGATACTGTAATGGTGAATGCATGTCATTTGTAAAAATCCATAGAATGTACAATGCGAAGAGTGAACTCTAATGTAAACTATGAACTTTAGTTAATAATAATGTATCAACATTGGTTTATCAGTGGTAACAAATGTACCACATTAAGGTAATATGTTCAGAACAGGAGAAACTATGTGTGGTGGGTAGTGGGGAGAAGAGGTATATGGGAGTTCTTTCCACTTTCCACTCAACTTTTCTATAAACCTAAAGCTGCTCTAAAAAATAATCTCCATTAATTGAAAAAATGTGCTCAATTAAAAAGCGACACACATTCCTTTATATGTAATGCCACCTTCTGCGTAAGCTGTTCTTACTAAGGAGAGCATAGTTAATATTTTTCTAGGCTCAGTTTTTCAGAGAAATGTACATCTATCTGATGTATAAACAAAATGTTTTTATTTGACAAGAAATTTGAGATGTGTTTTTTCCCCTGAAACCATTTATTGAGTGTATACTATTTGTAAGATATTATTAGGTATTTTAGTTTGGAGTAGATACCTGTCCATTTAATTTGGAGTAGATACTAGTCACCCCATTTCATGGGTGAGAAAACTCTGACTCAGATAAGGGAAGTGGTAAAGCTGATGCTTGACTTCAAAGCCTCTGTGCTCTATGGTCACATAGAATTTTTTTTTTTTTTTTGGAAATAGCTGAAGTTTGTCCTCTATAGGAAATGTAAGTCCTTTGGAGCCAAAACAATATTAAAGAGGATTGTCTAGATATGAATCTTGGCTCTACTGTTTATAGTCTTATTTAGGTTGTGTTATCTGTTTATGCTTTAGTGTCCTTATGTGTTAATTGGAGACAGTAATTGAGATTGTTGGGAGACTTGAGTTAATATATGGAAAGTCTTAGAACAGTGCCAAGTACAAGTGTCTGAGCGACATACATGTTATCTCCTAATTAATAGTGGAATTATTTCTCATTTTGTTGAGAAAGGAAACAGAGACCCAAGGAAATTGACTCTTTGAGTCACATAGCTTCTAAGGTCACATAGCTATTAACTAGCAAAGTTAGTTTTTTAAAAAATTTTAAGACCAGAATTTTATCCCCTAAGTTGACCTTTTTTTTTTTTTTTTTTTTTTTTTTAAAGAAAAACTCTTAAAAGCGATTGTAGTTTCTCCATGTCAGTTTAGAGTAAACCAGATATATTATAAATTTGGCCTTTTTCTCAATCAGATTGATAAATAGTGGGGAAAAAGCATTGGTCTATAATTCAGATTCCAGACCATGTCTTGTCCCTGGTTTGCTGATTCTGTTTCATTTGTAAAATGAGGGTAGAGTTGGTCAGATGATTTTTAAGTTTGTTTTAAAGCACCAATAGAACATACAGTGATATTACAGTGACTAGAGATACAGGTTTTTTTTGTTTTTTTTTCATGAGTTGTTGCACTATGCTGTCATACTCTGAAGTTCCCAGAGGTTCTTGATGTTAGGGTAGTTACCCTCCATGCTAAATGACTGTGGAGTGCTGTACTTTTATATTGGTGATCCATGATTTTTCCACTACATCTGACGCTGTTTCTCATAGTATTGTTCTTCCTTTTCTGCCTTCAATCTATTCAATTATTTTGAGACCAGGGTCTTGCTCTGTTGCTCAGGCTGGAGTGCAGTGGCGTGTTCATGGCTCACTGCGGCCTCACCCTACTGGGCTCAAGTGATCCTTCCACCTCAGCTTCCTGAGCACCTGGGACTACAGGCATGTGCCACTATGCCCACCTAATTTGTTAATTTTTTTTTTTTTTAGAGATGGGATCTCACTGTGTTGCCCAGGCTGCTCTTAAACTCCTAGGTTCAAGTGATCCTCCTGGCCTTAGCCTCCCAAAGTGCTGGGATTACAGGCATGAGCCCCCATGCCTGGCTGGCTCCACTTTTTTTTTTTTTTTTTGAGACAGATTCTTGCTCTGTCACCCAGGCTAGAGTATAGTGGCGTGATCTTGGCTGACTGCAAGCTCCGCCTCCCAGGTTCACGCCATTCTCCTGCCTCAGCCTCCTGAGTAGCTGGGACTACAGGGGCCCGCCACCACGCCCGGCTAGTTTTTTTGTATTTTTAGTTTTTGTATTGTTAGTTTGTATTGTTAGTTTCACTCTATTAGCCAGGATGGTCTAGAACTGGCTTCACTTATGTAAAGAAAGCTTGTGTACTTTGTTTCAGTTATTGACTGAACACATAGCAATCCTTTTTGGCTGCTGGATTCACAGCTAAATAGTGAATAGCCGAATCCCTTAGAATGGAGTAGGGTTGGGAATGGGAGATGCTGAAGACTTTAGTTATATAGTAAGGTCTTTATATGAAAGGTATAATTTTAGTATTATATTTAGTATTATGTTAGACAGAACATTTTTGAGATATCTCTTGTGGGATCATATTTTAATCCCTGTTTTTTGATTGTCCAAAAGGATCCCATGAATTGCAGCACTTGTGCATTCCTTCTTTAATGTGATATGAGTAGTAATAAAGTAAGTCCCATTTATTAGAACCTGTTCTGTTAAATAGTATCATTTTTTTAAAGAGATAGGGTCTCGCTTTGTTGCCCAGTCTGGTCTCGAACTTCTGGCTTCAAGCAATCCTCTCATCTTGGCCTCCCAAAACACTGGGATTACAGGCATGAGTCACCTCACTTGGTCTAACTGATAATATTAAGAAACTGTTACTGACAATAGGGTGTTTCCTTATTAAAGAAAAGTTAGTTTAAAGGAAAGATATTTAAATGAAGAGAAAGTTATTTTCTTTGTGAATTTATATGATATATGGTATGTAAATTATGTCGTCTTATAGCCACATAGTTAAAGCATGTGCTGTATTTCGATGTTAGCTCTGCTTTCTTTTTTTTTTTTTTTAATTTTTTTCTTCTTGTAGCTGGGTTTATAATAAGGTATTTCATTTGTGCTCAGAAAAGTTTACTTTTACTCTGTCTGGAATAAAATCTCATAAAAGTGGAACAAAATAGATAACAATGATTAGGCCTCTGGATAGAAATAATGCGGTGGAATTCTGGTGAGAGACATCCAGGGGTAGTGAAGTCAGGATCTAGTGAATATTCAGGGGTCTGGCATAGCAGTGCATACAGGCCCAGGGATAAATAGGGTCTTTTGGGAGTTAGGGAGTAGAGTCAAAAAAGCATGCTGAATTTTAGACTGAAAAAAAATTAAAGAACATTGTGCCAACATGTACTCTTTAACGGCGGTATCCAATGTAAAAGCATCATGGAATAATCATTGGTGGTGTTGTATTTTCAGGTGTCTTTACTGAATTTTCAGATGGATCTGAGCAATGCCAATTTCTAATTGAAAATCCGATGGTTAATTGCAACATTGTTGCCATCAGTAGTAGTGTTACTCTTTCAGGTGGTGCTTCTTGACTGAATTTCTTTGCAAATGTATTTATCTCATTGAGTACAAGTCAGCCATCTGCCACATTGTAGCTACAGGAGGCTTGCTTTTCTGGCCATATCACCTAGGCTCCTGGGCCCAGACCTTTAAATATGTGTTAGCTTTTTGTTCGAACTTAGGGAATTTTCCTCTGTTGAGTTTATTTCTTTTTTATCGGGAACATGTTTATGGGCTGCACACTCAGGTTGGAAGCTAATAGTAAATAAGCATTTTTGAAGTTGTTTTCCTCTTCTCTTGCAGGTGTGTTCCAGAGAACAAGCCTTCAAACATATTTGCTATATTGACACTGAGCTGTCAGGGGACTCAGGCTTATGAGGAGGTATTGTTACACAAAACAGTGTCTAGTGAAGACGACAAGAAAGAGGGGAAAAGATCGGAAAAAGAAGCTAAAATATTGTAGAAAACCATGGTAGGTTATTGTGGATATTTTCATAATTTAGTTACAAAAGACTCTAGTAATTTAAAATTGGAAATGTTAACAGTGAGGGCAAATGAAAAACAATGGTGTTAATTTTTGGCTTTAGTGTATCATATAAAGATGGCACTCTACTATTCAAAGCGAATGAATTCAGATTTATTACAAGCACTGTAAACCACAAGGTAGGGCCCCGTGAGCCTGTAGACCATGAATTATTAAAGGAGGAAATGCTCATAAATAATATTTTCTAATAAAACTCGCATTAGCAAACTGATACAAATAGCTATGTTTTAAGTTCAGTTTTTTTCTCGTGGAAATTAAAAATTCTGAACCAGTCCTTTAATTAGTGATATGAATGATGTAGAAGTTTATAATATGTGTGAATGTTTAACTGAAAAAGCCACCTCTTTCACACACTTTTCGAATAATAGGGTCAAGTGCTGAGTATAGTAGGGGAACTGAATTGAGAATCAAAGAAACCTTGCTTTTTGTGAAGAGTTCAGACCTAAATTGAATTTGTGATGTTAGATGAGGTCATAATCTCTGGTGCCTAGGCTTTTAATTGGTAAAATGTGCTGATTTTTTTTTCCCTTAGTATTATGAGTTCTGGAGGGTGTTATGTGAATTTTTTTCTCCTAAGTATAAGCAAGAAAAGGTTTCTTTTTTTCTTTTTTTTTTTTTTAAGATGGAGTCCCACCCTGTCACCCAGGATAGAGTGCAATGGCGTGATCTCGGCTCACTGCAACCTCCGTCTCCCAAGTTCAAGCGATTATCCCTGCCTTAGACTCCTGAGTAGCTGGGATTACAGGTGCCCGCCACCATGCCCAGCTAATTTTTTGTATTTTTAGTAGAGACGGCGTTTCGCCATGTTGACCAGGTTGGCCTTGAACTGACCCCAGGTGATCTACCTGCCTCAGCCTCCCAAAGCGCTGGGATTACTACAGGCATCAGCCACTGTGCCCGGCGAAGATTTTAAAAACACATTACAAATGAGAGAAAAAGCAGAAAATATTAATCACCAGTATGTTTAGAATATGTTGTTTAGCTGGTCTGTTGGTGATTATGTTTTTTGATTTTTTGTTTTTGTTGTTTTTTTTTTTGGGACAAGTCTTGCTCTATCATGCAGGCTGGAGTGCAGTGACATGATCATAGCTCACTGCAAACTCCAACTCCTTGGGCTCAAAGTATCTTCTTTCTTTAAGCGTCCCAAGTAGCTGGGCCTTATAGGTGCATGCCACCACATCTGGCAAATTTTAAAGTTTTTGTAGAGACAGGGTTTTGCTTTGTTGCCCAGGCTGGTCTGGAACGCCTTGGCCCAAGGAGTCCTGCTGCTGCCTTAGCCTTCTGAAGTGCTGGGATTATAGGCATGAGGCACCATGCCCAGCCTGGTGGTGTTTTTTAAAATGTTACTTGCTTTTAAAAATATTTGTGCCAAGGATTATAACTTAATCAGCTGACTCCTTAGAGAAGAAATTCTGATATTTTAGATCTAGATGGTGGGAACAAATGTTAACTTGGGATTTTCCCTGTCATTTAGTTATGTGGTGAAATGTGAAAAAAACCACACTGATTCTTTTGTATCTTACCATGTGAATTATTTACCTCTCATTCCGCTCATTTCTTATAGTCTTGATATTCTTAACAACTAAAAGAAATGCTTTATTATTTGTCAGAGTGGATGAAGATGTCTTCCTTAGTTTATTCTTTTTAAATTCAGCTTAGATTTTCTGTTGTATAAATTTGGTATTTTTATATAATTTAATTGATGAGTATTTTCTGGTTTCTCTTATTACTTGCCTTTTAGATCTCAGATTGCAATGAGAATTTTCTCTTTCTGCTTAGTTCTTCTGATAAAATTTTTTGTCTTTTTTTTTTTTTTTTTTTAAGAAACGGAGTCTCGCTCTGTTGCCCAGGCTGGAGTGCAGTGGCACGATCTCGGCTCACTGCATCCTCTGCCTCCCAGGTTCAAGTGATTGTCCTGCCTCAGCTTCCTGAGTAGCTGGGATTCCATGTGTGCACTACCACACCTGGCTGATTTTTGTTTTTTTTAGTAGAGATGGGTTTCACCATGTTGGCCAACTCCTTGACCTCTGATGATCCATCCTCCTCAGCCTCCCAAAGTGTTGGGATTACAGGTGTGAGCCACTGTGCCCAGTCTGATTTATTTTTTTTAATACTCAAAGAAAATCTGTTGTTTAGCGCTTATTTGAGTAAATAAAATTTCTCTGCATTTCTTCAGTTTTTCCTGTCACCGTTGTGGTAATCCCAGTTACTTTGGAGATGAAGTTTTGCTCTTGTTGCACAGGCTGGAGTGCAATGGCGTGATCTCAGCTCACTGCAACCTCTGCCTCCTGGGTTCAAGCGATTCTCCTGCCTCAGCCTCCCAAGTAGCTGGGATTACAGGCATGCACCACCACGCCTGGCTAAATTTTTACTTTTACTAGAGACAAAGTTTCTTCATGTTGGTCAGACTGGTCTCAAAGTCAGGTGATCTGCCTGCCTTGCCCTCCCAAAGTGCTGGGATTACAGGCGTGGGCCACCATGCCCGGCGTGTCTACTGTTGTTTCATAATGCTTATCCTGTCGCATCCAGTAGAATATTAGATGTCACATGTTTAGATTTAACACTGGCAGTGTTATTTGTGTGATAAATGACAAATGTTTATGTAATGTAGCAGGATGCAGTTTTGCTCAGGTGTGGCCAGTGTGCAGGACCAGGTAATTTAGCAAGTACATAAGCCTAGCTAACAGCCTAGCATTTCCAACTCTTTTGTTCTCTAGTACTTATTTTGGGATATATGAATATGTCTCACTAAGTGTTTAAAAAATTTGTTTCTTTGTGGCAAACTGCACCAGTTGGAAAACTGGTTGTGGACGTTGAGCAGGAAAAACATCTGGGCAGGTGATTTTTATTGAGAAAAAGAAAAGCTTTATAATCTATTTTAGCTGTGATTTTATATAATGATGGAGGTTTTCAAATGATTACCTTTTCAACCAAAGTTTTCTTTGCTTTATAGAGGACAGTGACACTATAGTGTTAATTTACTGTTACCCAAAAATAATGTGATTTTTAAACATAGATATTCAGACAAGAACAAAAGAGACAAGACTGTTCATAAAAATTGAGAATGTTTTAGTTTGTGATGGACTTCAAAACAAAATATTTACCATGTACTAACACATAATTTCATGTAAGTAAAGACAGTATAACCAGCTTTTAAATAGAATATTTTAGGCTTTATGGAAAACTCACTAAGTTATCCTTGTTCATTTTGCTGTGTATTGGTATAAGTGTGTTCGTGATATTTGTAAATTTGGAAAAATTTAAAGGTTTTTGCATGTGTGACTCATGAGTGTATAGAATCTACTCTGTTAAATTTTCATGAAATTCATTCATTTTCTGGGTGCTGGTCTGTTCCACTGATTTGATATTTCATTTTAGTTAATGGTACCACCCATCCATCTTTGTAGAGTATTTCTTGATACTCTCATTTATGTTTTTCCCCAAGTGAGCTTTAAAATGATTTTTGTTGAGGTTTAAGTAAATCAATCCTGAGGAGATTTTGATTGAGAATATAATGTATTTGAAAGTTAGCTTGTCATTTTGCAGTGTGTATTTTTCCCACTCTGCATTTGGAATGTCTCCCACTAATCTATTTAAAAAATTAAAGCCTTGCACCAAAGGTTTGAATGTTAGTGAACACTATTTTAATATTTTTTAATAGTTTTCTTATAGTGTTCACAGATAACTTTTTATTTTGTGTTATTCTATATTGTGAAATCCCACATTCTAAAATTTAAATAGAGATATGGGTCTTACTCTGTTGCCCAGGTTGGAGTGCAGTGACACAGTGGTAGTTCACTTAACCTTGAACTCCTGGGCTCTAGGGATCCTCTTGCCTCAGCCTCCTGAGTAGCTAGGACTATAGTTGCCTGCTACCATGTCCAGCTAACTTTTTTTATGTTTTGGAGAGATTGTATCTTGCTACATTACCCAGGCTGGTCTCCAACTTCTGGCCTTCAAGCGATCCTCCCACCTCAGCCTCCCAAAGTGCTGGATTATAGGCATGAGCCACCATGCCCAGCCCTGAAATCTTAATTTTTTTAAGGTTAGAAGTCTTTGGCAGTTTATGAGTCACTCACCATCCTGCATTTCTGGGACTCTCTTGAAGCTAAGAAGTATCTAATTCTTGTAGATGATGCATGATGTGGATGACATTTTTGAAGTATTATTCAGAATATGTCAGTGCAGCTAAAAGATAACTTTATTCATTTATTTTAGAGACAGAGTTCACTCTGTTGCCCAGGCTGGAGTGCGGTGGCATGATCTCGGCTCACTGCAACCTCTGCCTCCTCAGTAGCCGGGACTAGGTGCATGCCACGACACCCGGCTAATTTTGTATTTTTAGTAGAGACGGGGTTTTACCATGTTGGCCCGCTGGTCTCAAACTCCTGACCTCAAGTAATCTGCCCACCTCAGTCTCCCAGAGTGCTGGGATTACAGGCATGTGCCACTGTGCCTGGCCAAGATAACATTATTTATAAATAATGCCAAGAGTGACTGAGGTGAATCTTACCAAAACATGAGTGGAAGATCTCTTGTTTTCTGGTGAGGAGGAGTTCAATAGAATGCAGTTTTACTTCCCACTCTTGAGCAGTTTTTTCTTGTTTCAGTATTAACTCTTACAGTAGACAGTCAGTGCTATGGATTGGCTAAAGATATAGTTGTATATTATCCTTTTCAGGTGATGTTTCTTTTGTTGAAGTAATTGTTTTCATTCTTCTTAACAGAGATCTATTCGATCTTTTGCTAATGATGATCGCCATGTTATGGTGAAACATTCAACAATCTATCCATCTCCGGAGGAACTTGAAGCTGTTCAGAATATGGTATCTACTGTTGAATGTGCTCTTAAACATGTCTCAGATTGGTTGGATGAAACAAATAAAGGCACAAAAACAGAGGGTGAGACAGAAGTGAAGAAAGATGAGGCCGGAGAAAACTATTCCAAGTGAGTATGGACTGACCTCTGGGACGCTGTGCTAGAGTGCACAGCAAAGCTCTAAGGTCTGCTGGATTGAGTGTGTGTTAATGCTGTTTTTTGGATTTTGTCTTATGCTTATATAAGACTATAACCAAGGAAGTAAATGTTACATGGAGATTTTCTGAGTTAAATTTGAAAGGAAAGCAAGAAAAGAATAAAGATTAGAGCCAGAGAAAGAAAATGGACCTGCTTAGGATCCCTTTTGAGAGAACACCAAGTCCTTTTAAAATCATTATGTTTGAAAGTTATGATCTTTTTCCTGTGTTGATTCAGCCTCCTAAATTTTGAAATAAATAGTAGTGTTTTTGATCTCTGGGGAGATCATAAAGTATTATTTTTGTAAGGCATTTAAAAATCCTTGTATAGAAGAAAGAGTGTAGGAAAATATATTTTAAAGGTATTTTTGACTATATCTACCTCATTGATTCCCAGAAATTTAGCAGTGTCTTGCATATCGTAATTGCTATTTGTATATTTGTGGATTGGATAAAGATCTAATGGGAGCCACACCCTTCAACAATTATAGTAGCATATTCTAAGTGCTGTGACAATAATAGATTAGTGAAACTGAAATGGTACCTGGAGTTAGATTATAACCTTTTTATGCCAGGCTAAGCTTAAAGTTGCTGTTTTGAGCAGTTGTCACTATGATTGGAATAAGTGTCTTAACTTTGAAAGATGGAACTCATTTGACTATACTGTATGAATAAATTTAAAAACATTGCTTTGGCTACAATTTGTAAATGAAAGAGGTTACAGAGTTTTTGCAGCTTTTAACTTTAAATCAATGTGGTAAATAATAGTAGGAAAATATTGATAAATGGATTTTCTTCACTGAAAGATAGTATAACCTTTTTTATCTTCAGATGAAAGATAATCAGTGTGTCAGTTTTATTGCTGAAGAGCATAATTTTTTTTTTTTTTAACTATTTACAGGCAGTTTATACATTGTGTCTGGTCATAGTCTTGTCAGTTTGAAGGTTCTTGGAAATGTAGTGTAATTTTTCTCATGTATGATGTCTGTACAAATGTTACTGTTAGATTTAGAGTTCATGTTCATTAGTAGTAGTATCTAATTATTTAGTTCTATGTGTATCTCAGCTTTTGTGAAAGTTAAATAGTCATGCATTCTAGATTTAAATTGCACTTTGCTACATGTTTATGTCATGTTAAAAAGTTTTTTTATTGTGGTAAAATATATAACATAAGATTTGCTATTTTTACTAATTTTAAGTATACATTTCAGTGAAGTTTAGGTCTTTTTAATTTTCTAATTTTGTTGCTTCTCAAGCCTGGCATATTTTGGAAAGCACTCCTGTAGACTTGCTTAACTGGATGAGGTCTGTGATTTAAAGACTTTTACAGGATAATATGCTCCACACTTTTATTTGAAGTTTTATTTATTTTTTTATTTTTTTAGAGATAGGGTGCTCTGTTGCTCAGGCTGGAGTGTAGTGGTGTGATCATAGCTTATTGTAGCCTTGAACTCCTGGGCTCAAGTGATCCTCCTGCATCAGCCTCTTGAATAGCTAGTAAGTGTGTGCTATCATGCCTGGCTAATTAAAAAAAAAATTTTTTTTTTTGAGAGACAGCATCTTGCTACATTGCCCAATCTGGTCTCGAATTCCTGACCTGAAGCAATCCTCCTGCTTTGGCCTCACAAAGTGCTGGGATTACAGACATGAGCCACCATGCCATGCCTGGATTTTAAAATACGCTTCTGTGTGTGGATGCTCTTGGTTGTCTATATACAGTCTTTCCGTTTTGTGGAATAGTCCCTGGTTGAGCCCTTGCCTGTGATCCTTCCCATGTGGTGGGACTCAAGGAGTGCAGAATGATTCTATTCTTATATCAGAGGCAGGCATGTCTTCCAAGGACAGAGTTGTATTCTGGTAATAAACATATATTGTGCACCTGGTGAGTGTTAAACACTCTGAAGGACACAGAGATGGGTGGGGGGTAGCTTGTATTTATTAAGCAATTAAGCATTTCCCATTGCTAGGCACTGTTAGGCAGCTTTTACCTATGCTCTCTTAATTTGACTTAATGCTTTACCTTTTTAAAAATGGATTCAAAAGTCAACTTATACAAGGTCCTACAATATATATTATTAGGAATATTATAATTTTGTTAATTTTAAGAAATTTACGTATACTAAATTCAAATACATTGGGTTGCTTGCTTTACAGTAATTGCTATGTTCCGGTTTTTAAATTCAGATTCAACTGTGTGAATTAGGAATTTATTTTCTGCTCAATCATGCTGTCTTCTACCTGTGGGCTGATAAGACCAAGTATATAATAATTATGGCTTAGAATTTAATAACTGAGCTAATAATAGCTACTGTTTATTGAGTGCCAACTATTGTACCACAGTACTTTTCCTATTATCTTGCAACAAATCTACTAGTCTCTAATATTATTATCTTCCTTCCTCCACTCCTGTTTTACTTGTGAAATTTCCTGTGCTCCAAACTTGGTTATAAAAAAACGAGTGACTCAGAATCATTAACAAACTTTAACTTGCTTAAGGCTACTTAGTAAATATGTGTGGTTGAGCCAGGATTCATATTCAAGTTTCTCTGACTCCAGATCCAGGTTTCTGAGCATCTATGCTTCAATTTCCTGTGAATAACATGTGAAAGTACAGAGCAGGGAGAGACGATGATGTGCTGGTTCTGGGAGTCTGCAAAAGCTCTATGAAGGAGGTAGCACTTGGAATAGGCTCAGAGGATGGATGGGTGGGTAGGGTTTTGGCAGGTGGTGAAAGTGAAAGAAAAAATAAATCTCAGCACTGATCTAGGTTAGAGAAAGTATAGGAATTGTTTGAGGAATAATAACTGTTATTTACTGAGCTGTTAATATCTATTGGGCTCTGGCCAAGGTTTATTACATATATTCTCACTACCACTCTGTGAGAAAGGTATTATTCCTGTTTTACAAATGAGGAAGCAGGTTCAAAAGAAGTCAAGTTATTTGAAATTTGTCCAGTGTCACACAGTAAGTAGCAGAGCCAGGATTTGAACCAGGAAGCGATGTCATTTTCTAATTGCTTTCCAATATGGTAGGTGTCCAAGTGTTCAGTGGGACACCAAGGAAATAGTAGGTAGAGTGTTATCCAGTCTGTGCCTTTGGAAGATTATTCTGGTTGCTGTATACAGTACTTTGGAGATGACAGAGGTCAGTCAGAAAGGCCAGTGAGGAGGAGGTTATTGAGGTGGTCTACATGAGAGGTAATAAAAGCCTGAAGAAACTGGTTTGCAAGTTTGATGGTGATTATACAGGGAGAATTTATAAACCATTACAATATTAGATTTGGAAGAACGAGAGGACAAGGATACAGAGGAAGAAGAAATCAAAGATGACTGATTATTGTTAATATCAGACAATTGCTTACACTTGGGTCACCTGCTTTAAAATGCTTTTTATGTCTATATTTATACCACCTTTATCGTTTTTCATTGATTTAATGTTTATTGAATCTCTATAAGTATGCCAGGCACTGAACCCATGGCTGGATTATTTATAACTTCCTTTCTAGTTTCCACTGCCACAATTTGTTTCTCTCCTTTCTCCCTTTCCATTTTATTCTCAACTCTACTGATTCTTGCCCAACTCTGCTGATTCTTTGCTTATAGCTAGAATGACTGTTTTCCATCTAGGTAGATCAAGATTCTGCTGAAGTCAGACTTTCAGTTTGCCTTGCTTGACATCTCTAATTTTGACCTCTCCCTTTTCTGAACTTGGGAAGCAATCGTATAATGTAAGGGACCTGAATGTTGTGGTCAAAACAACTTAGGTTTGAATTTAGGCTTTGCCATTTTACTTTCGTGGAGAACTTGAACAATTAACTTTTCTGAGGCTCACATTTCTTGTCTTCCAAATGGAGGCTTGTGGTGAGATTTAAGTGAGAATATGTGACACCTGTTTGTGCTCAGATGTTACTTTCTTTTCCCCTTTTAAGCAGGGCACTTAAACTGTTAACTGCTTTTGTTGCTTAACTACAGAGTAAGCCTCAGGAGCAAGAGAGACTGTAACTCCTGTAATATGTTTGCCATATTCAAACACTTGCTTATTTGTTGAAGGACGGTTAAGCTTAGTTAATATTTTCACTTGTGATTAAGGGAAATGAACCAATAAGAAACTTTTAGAATTAAAATCAAGTATAGATGAGCACTTTTCTTATGCACCATTCATGAGTTGATGTTCTTTGAGTGTTTGCTATTTTAGCTACTCCTGGATTTGGAATACATATGCTGGCAGTTTAATCTTTCCTTCCTTAGCTCTATACTTTTATCACATTTTTCTCCCTTCCCCATAAGCTGATATAGAATGGGAGGCATTTTAGAATGGTATAGTTGGGAGGAACTTTAGCTCATCTAGCCAATAGTCATTTTACTGTTGTGGATACTGAGTCAGCAGGCACCACGAGTAGAATGCAGGTCTTTTCGATTTCTGTGCCGATGTTCTTTCTCAATATACTGTGGTATTCATGTTCCTCACAAATTCCCTAATTACTCCTAAAACAGAAGGAAGGTTATTTTATTTTTATTTTTTGAGACAGGATCTCATTCTGTCACCCAGGCTGGAGTGCAGTGGTGCAAACATGGTTCAGTGCAGCCTCGAACTCCTGGGCTCAATCCTCTCTTCTTAGCTTCCTGAGTAGCTGGCACTACAGATGCATGCCACTATGCCTGGCTAATTAAAAAAAATTTTTTTTGTGCTGACAGGGTCTTTCTGTGTTGGCCCAGGTTGGTCTTGAACTACTGGGCTCAAGTGATCCTCCTGCGTTGACCTCCCAAAGTGTTGGGATTACAGGCATTAGCCACTGCACCTGGCCAGAAGGAAATTTAAAAAGAACAATTTGAAAAAATATTTAAGAGGATGCAGCATTTTTTAGGTTTCTTAAGCAATATAAATGTAGTAAAGAATTACAAGATCTGTAGTATGAAATATGTTCCCCATTGAATCTTTGAGGAAAGATAGATACTTTATAAGCCTCAAATCTGAGACTTAATTTTGTGGATACCTGGATGTCTGGATTTACATACTTCCTTATCAGTTCATTAGGATATTCAGGAAGCCAAGTGATGATTAAGTTATAGTTTGGGAAATAGGTTGTGAAAGTAATCATGCAGACTTTTATTTTTAGGGATCAAGGTGGTCGGACATTGTGTGGTGTAATGAGGATTGGCCTGGTTGCAAAAGGCTTGCTGATTAAAGATGATATGGACTTGGAGCTGGTTTTAATGTGCAAAGACAAACCCACAGAGACCCTGTTAAATACAGTCAAAGATAATCTTCCTATTCAGATTCAGGTGAGTACAGTTTAACTGCACCTCTAGGCGAATTTGTAAAAAGGTGAAAATAGGTAGTGACTTTGAAAAAATTATTAACCAGAATTGATAATAGCAAGGATAGACACAGACAAAATAGTACTGCTACTCTGGGTCAATGACTAATTCATCACAGTTAAAGCAAACTTCTGGTGATTTGTACTCAGGATATATTTACTAAATTAAGATGGCCATTAAGGAACTGTCTTAAACTTTTCCGTTGTGTCTTGCTGAGAATCTTCATTTTTTCCAGACTAGGTCTCACCTTTATAAAGTTCTTGGAAGGGTTGGTATAATGCAGAAAATAATTGGAAGATTGAAAACAACCTAGACTAGATACTTTCTAGAGACTAAGAGACTTTCTTATCAATGAGAGACTTTCATAGCAAGTAATTTTTGAAACTGAAGACTCAGTTTTTTGTCACCTATTTGTTCTGTTAATGGGAAATCACTGTTCATTTCTTGTCTCCAAACCTTTTTTACACTGGGATGCATTTAGAAAAATTTGATGTTGGCATGTTCCCTGAAGGATGCTGCTGAAGGCTGAAGCCTCCTTAGGGATGAAGGTAACCATTCTGGGGTTCTGGTCATTCTAGGACCTGCCCTGCCAGCCTACCCCAAGGACTCATTGCATCACTGGGAATCTGTGATCATCTTTCAGTATCAGATGCATATTGTCTGTGGTCCAATTAAATTACAACTTTTGATAGTTTTATATCAGTTTGTCTTCATATCAATGTCATAGAAATAAATGTTGGTCCATAGGTCCAAACTTGTGAATTGTTGAATGCTTCCCTCCACCACTCACTTTTTAAAATTTAGTTTTCTTTTATTTGTATATCTTTTAAAAGGGGTCTTTTTTTCAAGGTGTATGAATTCTAAGTTTGTTTTTATTCGCTTTGTTACTAGATCATTTTCTTTTATATTCACCAATAGACCCTCAAAACCATCTCTGATTTTTTAGTACCATTCTTGACACTCAGATTTATTTTACTGATTGGCACATTCTCCTGTATTAATTTTGGGGACACTATTTTATCATTTTGTCTTAATATATGGTTTTTAAAGTGACAGAACATACTTGGCTTTTCCACTTTCAATTTTGATGGAGAAATGTTTTCTGGTCTTTCATAGGGTCGAATTTATTTACCTTTCCCTCCCTTTTAAAAAAATCCTTTTGTGATCATTTGGGGGAAGGAGAGTGGAATATAGCTTTATGTATTAAACATGGAGTAAAGCTTTACAAAGTGGAAAGCTCATTAATGGGCTTTCTGGCTAACTATACTTGTAGTTTATTAGAATATTAATAAAGTTCCCATTTCAATTTTTTATGTTGTTTTAACATTTAATCTGTATTTCTGCTGTTAGTATAGTAAACATCGTTACTCTTAAATCTAGAATTATCAGAATCACATACTAGTGGCTTTTTCACCCACCTCACCGCCTTTCTGTACCTTTCATGAATCTTGTTTTTTATGAGAATGATCATATTCCTCATCCTCAGATGTTGCAGCATTGAAAAGGGGTTGAGAACCAGTGCAGTAGTAAATCGGAGTTCGTATTCAGAAAATCTGTCACATCTTTCCTGTTTTGAAGATATAGAAGATTGGGCCAAGCTTTAGTTGGCATTGTTAGAGCTTTCTCTGTGCGGATCACAACTTTGTGAACTCCACATTGTTTCTTTCTTGAGTGAGGTTGTTTGTGAGCACCGCAGTTTAAAAATGTTCCTTTCTAGTTAGCAAGTATTCAAGGGGGTTACCCTGGAGGGTGTACAGGGTATACACACCATCTCAAATTTTAGGAGACTGAAGGTTTTTAGGCTAAAGAAGACTAAAAAAGATTTAAATATCTTTAGGTCTTCGAAATGTTATCTGGCAGAAGGTAAAAGAGGTGTGAACTCTTAAGACTAATGGTGGAAATTAGGAGAAGTATCTTTCAATTTAACATAGCCAATAGATTTCTCCAACAATAATTCTATGTTTGGGTAAAGATACATTTTCTTGTAAAATGGGAATGATGATTGTACACTAATCTGAGATTAAAATATAGACATGTACACACATGCCCACATATATACACATATGTGTACGTATATTGTTACTAATAATATTCTTGAAATTGTTTTAAGTGTGACTTTTACAATTAAACCTTTCCCCCTGAGCACCCTCCGCCCCCGCCTCCCCCTGCCCTGCCCAGTTTTCATGGTGTTTGTGTGGAAAACCAATATCTGATATGATATTATTTTCTTATGGACCAAAAATCTTTTTCCTGAGCACTTAACATAGCAAACCTTTCAGTTATCTAACTACTTTAGTTAGCTGAGGTTATACCTTACCTTTTCTCTTCATATTCTTTCCTAAGATGATTTTAGAACTTCTTTGAGCAAAGGAGGAGGAGGATGACTAAAACCAGAAATCACTGAAAATTAGTCTAGCACAAAATGCATATCATGTTTATTATTTTGGGTGTGTCTTATGGTGATCGACATGCATAATTGAAAAATGAAGTTCAATTTATTCTTTGATAGACATCTTTAATGCTCTTTTAGTGACAAAATGAATGTGAGGTGTTTTTTGCAGTTTCTTTATATTCTGGTGCTTTTATCTACTGTATGGCCTTTCCCTTCCTTGGCTTCCTCTATTCAAAAGTAGGATAATGAGTTTTCCCTTTCCTACTTTTTTGGGAAAGTTTAATGGTAAAATGCTATTTTTATGTAAGTGACTTTGAATTCTTTGAATACACACTGATGAGCAGGGACCTGGCAGTGTCTCCATTCAGCCTGGCTACTGTATGTCAGGTAATAGATACTGAATTTCACCACTAAGAAAAAAAGCCCTGTGTAACTTATTAAATCATATATTTAATGTATAATAATATAGTAAACATAACTTAATATATAATTCTGATTGGGTGATTACTTTGTGGGAGGCCCCTACTTAAATTGTATGTTTGTTTATATTTGTATGTTAAAAGAAGCAATGTAGGTTTTCTGTAGATGTCAGATGACTTGTCCCATAGCGGTAGGTCCCATTGGAAGATCTCTGAGACCTGTTATCAGAGAAGGGAAGGAGTTACTTGTTTATACTCATTGTTTCCTCCTGGTGAGTGACTGTGCAGAGATACTTTTTCATTTGTGCTTATTTGGTGCTCTTTGAAAAGCTCCATAATCTTATAAATTTTTGCCAAGTAGGAGTTCCTGTTTAGGCTGTTCTACAAAAAGAGCTATTGTTTTGGAGAGCAGTCCCAGCTATTTATTATTTTATAATAGTTCCTGTAATAATTTTAAGAACAATAATTTACCATTTATCACATACTGATGCTGTTGGCCATGGTTTTAAATATTGTTTCATAATTGTATGGATGGTTGACATTGTGGTTGCTTTGTAAAGAATGGAGAAAGAGGGTTTTCTTGTAAGTTAGGAGGAGAGAAAAGTGTTATCCCTGATAAAGAACTAGTTACAGGCTTTCTTTGCCGTTTGAGCACAGTAATATTAATAGTTAATAACATTTGAGAACTTAGTACAACCATGCGTTTTTTTTCTTTTGAGATTTCAGTCCAATTAACTGGGTGATTTTGAAATCTTGGTGACTTTCAGAAACTCACAGAAGAGAAGTATCAAGTGGAACAATGTGTAAATGAGGCATCTATTATAATTCGGAATACAAAAGAGCCCACACTAACTTTGAAGGTGATACTTACCTCACCTCTAATTAGGGATGAATTGGAGAAGAAGGATGGAGGTACACATGCATATATATGTATATATTTGTTGTTGTTTGTTTTCTTCATATAAAAGCTATGTTAACAATGTTTTATGGATTTAGGAAATAATAGCCTTCGTTTGTTTTATGCCACTCTATTTAATAGTATTTTAAATGGCTTTGTTTCTACATAATCAGTATATTTTGCAAAAATGTATGAATTCAAAATATAAAATGTTATTTCAAAAACCTGTGCTTGTCTTGTTGGTTTTAACTCTGCTTTAATTTTTATACCATTTGCTGTTCTGTTTTACTTTGTCTAGTATTACATTAAGTTATTGGTATCAGCCAACTTATTCTATGTAGTTTGTCTTAATGGTCAGATTTCAGGATTAAATGTGGTCCAAAACAGAATTGTTTTCAAATTTATTCATTGTTCCAAAATTACTTGCATCCTGGTTGGGCGTGGTGGCTCATGCCTGTAATCCCAGCACTTTGGGAGGCCGAGGTGGGTGGATTGATTGAGGCCAGGAGTTCGAGATAAACCTGGCCAACTTGGCGAAACCCTGTCTACTGAAAGTACAAAAAAATTAGCCAGGCATGGTGGTGGGTGCCTGTAATCCCAGCTCCTCGGGTGGCTGACACACGAGAATTGCTTGAACCCAGGAAGCGGAGGTTGCAGTGAGCTGAGATCACAACACTGCACTCCAGCCTGAGTGACAGAGCAAGACTCCACCAAAAAAAAAAAAAAAAAAAAAAAAAACAACTTGCATCATATTGCTCTTGACTTCTAATAGCTATATAATCTTGTAAGATTTGTACATGTCTGTGTCTAGATTTGTTTTATAGTGTAAGGGATACAAATTGGGTGACTGAATTTTTTTAATGGATAATGTTGAGTAAATTTTTTCTAGGAGGTTTGTGACCCTGTTAACGTTTTGAATATGATTTATGTGAGAATCATTCTTTAAACTAACTTTCTTCTGAAGTTAAGAAGAATTGCTGTCTGGCAATGTCATCCTCATAAAAGTAGAGTGAGAAATCTATTCAGTTATTGGTAGTTTTGAGAAGTTCATGATGGGGTTGTGGTGGGCTTCTGTTTCTGATGTTTTTATCCTGTCAAGTTAGCTTGTTTCTGCCTCTCATTCCCTTGAAACTTGCCAGGTGGTATTTCTCCTGTGTCAAACCTTTGACCAACTGGCCACTCTGTCATGACAGTTTAGAGGCAGTGCAGCCTATCTGGACCAGTGGGGACTCCCTGTTGCTATTTTTCATCACCAGACTTTCAACAAGTCCCATTGCTTACTCCCTTACCTGAAATACCAGTGCCACAATAAATATTGGTCAATTTCTTAGTTTATTTCAACTTGGTGATAAGGGTAGAGAAAAAGGTACCAGTAAAGTTAGAATTTTAATTTTTGAGAGACATGACTCATAGAATCACTTAAGGTAAAAGTGGTAGACTCTTTTTTAAAAAAATGCTTTTTGGGATAACTAAAATCATCTATATCATAACTCAACAGATACAAACCAGACACATTTATGAGTCATATTTTAAAATCAAAGGGCATCCAATCTATAATTGAGCTTATGCCTATGCATTAAATTTTTTTTTGCTGTATGTAGTATCTATAGCACCTCTGAAGAACCAATCTTAAATGGCTTAATTTTTTTAACAGCTTTACAGTTCACCATTAACTGTAGAACTATAAAATGATTTCTGCAGTGTCAAGATAAATGTTAATTCTGGTAAGATGTGTTCTACTTGACCCTCTAGTATAAAACCAACCATTTCTAAGTAGTGTTGTAATTATAGGTATTATTAAAAATTATTTGAGTATATAGGGAGATGAGAAAAAGACTGAAGTTGCCAAAGGCTAGGTTAATTACATGTTTGCTTATATCTGTCAGCATCCCTTTCATTTCTTTTTTGAAAGTATTAAGGGAACTTCAGTCGTTATTATTCCTGTAGTTTTGTGTACTTACATGAGATTTTGTCATAGCTTTCAGTGATACCTTTAAACTTGGTCTGTTGCCTTTAACTTCTGTTTAGAGAAGCTGAAAACATTCCTAGTATATTGTACCCTTGCTAGAACACTATTATAGAATAGATTTTGTAATAAAGTAAGAGAGTCATAGTCTCTGTTCAAGGTGTTTGAATTACTGAAGGATCCAAAGACCGTTATGAGCTGATTCTCATCAGCTGTTATATGGGATCAGGTAAGGTGAAGGAATCAGCTTTGATCTAAAGTTTTATACATCTTACTTTTTTTTTTGAATGACAGAAAGATTTGCTTTGCTATTGTCCTTAACATTCCAGCCCTGTTGACTCACTTGATATCTTTTCTAGTTTGCTCATTTTGTCTAACCTGGGCTTTGTCAAAGACAATTTTTGATCTTTGCTACTGGTTTGCATTCTCCCGGGCAACTTGGAGGATCTGGTACCATTCTGTTTTCTCACACTAGACAGCTCCTCATCCCCTTGATGCAATTCTTTTCAGCTGCATGGAATAAAAGCACAAGATTCATTCAGGTCCCAGGAATTTGTGGGGCTGAAAGTTATCCTTTTTTCTCCTAATTTATACTCTTTTTTTTTTTTTTTCCTCCAAGTTAAAAAAAAATCTATTGTAACTTTTTTTTTGGAGACATTTTCCTATAGTATCTCAACTTTTCTTCACCTACCCCCACCCCCAAACAAACTTTTCACAACCAAAACCACTTCACATCTTTTCTTTTCTCTCTTAAATTTTCACAAAATTTGGGAAAAAATAAAAAAAAAAAAAAAAAAAAAAAAGCATGGTTGAGAGCAGACAGAACCAGAGGACTAGGGTGTGAAACTTACTTCCTCGGAATTGTGCAGAATGGATCTAAGTACGTACTCCTTTCAAATCATGATTTACATTTTAAATTGCTATAATACAGAGTGAATCTCTTTGGTATTGTTTACCGTTTCATAGGTAAGTTTCCTCCCATGTTGTCCGTCTTCTTTCTGTATTCTAACCCTTTACTTGAAGGCCCTATAGAATAACCGTGTCCCCATTACTACATGTTTCCTGCTAATGAAGGCATAGAAGCACAGATATTGGTGTGCAGCAGTCTTTTGTTTGGCTTATTTTGTTATTGTTGTTATTGTGGGAGACAGTCTTGCTTTGTTTCCCAGGCTGGAGTGCAGTTGCATGATTTCAGCTCACTGCAACCTCTGCCTCCCGAGTTCAAGCAATTCTCGTGCCTCAGCCCCCTGAGTAGCTGGGACTACAGGCTCATGCTACCATGCCCGGCTAATGTTTTCTATTTTAGTAGAGACGAGGTTTTGCCATATTGCCCAGACTGGCCTCGAATTCCTGAGCTCAGGCAGTTTGCCTGCCTCGGCCTCCTAAACTGCTAGGATTACAGATGTGAGTCAGCGTGCCTGGCCTTGTTTGACTCTTAACTCCATTAGTTGCTATTGCTATGTGACCCTGGGTAGGTTTCCTCATTTTAAAGTGTGGATTATAAATACTTTAGAAAGTTGTTTTAAGTGAGAGAATTTATGTAATGTGACTTGTACAATAACTGGCACAAAGCAGTTGCTCAGTAAATAGTAGTTGTCAACTTATTGAACCCACCTACTCAAACTGCCTTAACAGTGAAAATCATGTACACATGGCGGGTCAGAAGAAGTCAACCCAAGCACAGTTAAACTCTTCAACACCCAGTGATGTGTAGTATTAGAATCAGTATACTGATTTATGCAGTGCTAATAATAAAAACCTGGTATATTGTATCTTATAATTCAGGTGTCTTTTTGCCTGTCCTTTATCTTTAGCATCTCTAAGGGTACCCGATACATAGTAGATGATTTTTTAAAAAGTCCTATAAATCTGTTAAGTGAATTAACATAGTCAGCATATTGTCTGATTAAATAGGACTCTCCAGTGTGTAAGAAGTATTAATGGGCATCTCATAGCTCAAGTAATATATATTGAAGATTAATCTCTGTTAAGATATTTTTATAACCTACCATGTGATAAGCACTGCCTCATATATGATTTATTTTAAAAGCCCTCACACGGCCCTATGGGGTAGCTAATTGCCATTTTATAAATGAGGAAAATCTCGCATTTTACCCAGCTCCCCTGACTTTTCGTCTAGTATGCAGGCCACTTCCCATTATTGTCTAGGATTACTGCATGAGTGGTTAGGCTGATCTGGTCATTCTGAGCTTCACCCAGAGTCTCAATTTCTTTTGGTGCTTGTGATTTTAAATTAGAAATATATTTGCTATTGAAGGGGGTGATAAATTATCTGCTTATTTATAATGCAATTTGAAACCAGGTGGATAAGGAAACTACAGAGACACTTGTGGCTTAGACTAAGACACACCTCTCTCCTCAGTACTGGGGCAGATTTTCAGGGACTCTCAGAGAGGTTGCCTCATAGTCCCTTCATATTGGTGCCAGTGCGAACTTGCTCTTCTTGGCAGAAATTCACTAGCATGTGTCTTGCTAGGGTCAAGGCAGTAGGTTTTACAGCACAGCCATCACAACTGTGATGATAATGATGCAGCAGGCTTTATTTTCCTGCCTTCCCTAGTGTCTGGATCTATGTTATCCAGGGCAAACTTTTTTGTTTTTTTTGAGACGGAGTCTCGCTCTGTCGCCAGACTGGAGTGGAGTGCAGTGGTGCGATTTCAGCTCATTGCAACATCCGCCTCCCGGGTTCAAGAGATTCTTCTGCCTCAGCCTCCTGAATAACTGGGACTACAGGCACCGGCCACCATGCCCAGCTAATTTTTATGTTTTCAGTAGAGATGGGGTTTCACCATGTTGGCCAGGATGGTCTTGATCTCTTAACCTTGTGATCTGCCTGCCTTGGCCTCCCAAAGTGCTGGGATTACAGGTGTGCGCCACTGTGCCCGGTCAATCCAGGGCAAACTTTTAGGCACTGTCTTTCCAGTGGCAGACTGCCACTGAAGAAAAGTCATATCGAGTGACATTAGTCACATAAATTAGGAGAACAGTGCTTTCTCTGTTCTACCTTATTGCTACATTTACCTGTTTATATTATTATGTGCCCATGTTTTGCATGGACAGTGGCTTAGGGCATGTCTTTTCTCGAGAAAGCGTCAACGTGTCGAGAGAGAGGGACTGCCAGGATATTCTTAGGCTAATTAGAAAATTCTGTCAGCATAGACTTGGTAGCTCTGTTTCATCCTGATTGTCAAGGAGCCCCTCATGATACTGAGCTCAATTATTTTAACTTTGAAGAGCCCGGGTTCGAGACATATAACTCCTGTTTAATGCAATCATGTTTTGTTTTTTTGCCTGCCCCATCTCCAGGTTAGTGTTTTGTTAACAGGGATGGATAGCTAGCTTGCATGTAAGGCATTGAGAGAAACCAACCAACATTTCCTGTAGTATAGTGTGATTCTGGTCACTGATTTAACCTCTAACCAAATGAACATGGTTAGGCATAATAGACTTTCTAGTGCTTCCATTGCCAGAATGTTGTGTGTGCCTTCATGCCCCGATGCTAGGTTACTGAGTGGTAGATTTTCTTAAAAGCTGTATTTCTGGCTGGGTGCAGCACTTTGGGAGGCTGAGGCAGGCAGATCACCTGAGGTCAGGAGTTTGAGACCAGTCTGGCCAACATGGTGAAACCCCGTCTCTACTAAAAATGCAAAAAATTAGCAGGGCATGGTGGCGTGCACCTGTAGTCCCAGCTATTTGGGAGGCCAAGGCACGAGAATTGCTTGAACCCAGGAGGCGGAGGTTGCAGTGAGCCGAGATCGCGCCACTGCACTCCAGCGGGGAGATAAGAGTGAGATTCTGTCTCAAAAAAACAAAACAAAACAAAAAAACCCGAAAAAAACCGGCTATATTTCTTTGCTTTTGGCATTTTTGTCACCTTCCAACCCCTGCCTCCCATGCTCTTCCTTATCTGTTTCACTGGTCACACTGTAGGAGATAATGAAATGGCTCACAGTTCTATTGTTTCTGATTAAGAACTCCAAGATGTGTTATCAGAAAAGTTTTGATCCTCCTCAAAATTTAAACACCTACATTAAAGTTCAGAAATATTAAACTTGAGATTCTGCTACCAGGAGTAGCAGTGTTTTCCCAGCAGCAGTTTTGCGATTGCCAGATTAAATGAAGTTATTTTCAAAGGAATGAAAACATACATAAAACTGTATATTATTAATTATATAAAGGAAACAGGCAATCTATGCTTATAGGTAGCACTGTACTACTGTATGAATTTATATTGTTTTAGTATTAAGAACTTTGAAAAAGATAAAATGAGATGAATTATTATATCTCCTCTACTATTTTCTACCTCCTGAGTATTGAAGCCATTTTGGATCTTTTGATTTTCTGACTATCAGAGCATGAAGAAACATGGTCATTCTGATGGTGATGGAAGAGGGAACCTGGTGCAAGTCTTCTGTTCAGTGCCTGTCCCTTTCATCTCTTTTTCGTAGAATCTGTTGTCTTCAAATGTTGACTGTCTGTAGCAAGCCGCTGTCTCAGTTTTCTAAAATAAGAGTTTGTGGTTACAATCGGACTTTGGGATGAAATAACTTATCAAAATATTTTTGCCATTGTCTCCCATTAAAAATGTCTGTGTTACAATCAGAGTAAGATGCTGATTACAAGCTCTGATCCCTGGATGAAAGTATTAGAAAGTACAGTAAGAATTTTGGCTTGCCTTGCCTTTTCCTATCCTCTGCCTTACTTCCCTCTTCCATTGTCTCCCTCTTCCTGGCATTCCTACTTGATAAGATGATAGAATAAAATTTAGCTTGTCATAGTATTCATTTAAAAATTGACATCTTAAAAAATAAGGTCCATACTATTTATTGGGATTACATTACTTAGCAGTCAGTCAACTTTTGTCATATCTAACTTTTAAGAGATTCTAAACATTCATTTACAGTAGTTTGTTTTATCTGATATGTGAGCTTTACACAGATGCTTGTATTGACCACAGTTAAGCATTTTGACATAGAAACATTAAACTGAGCTACTTGTATATTTGGCATCACTATAAAGACAAAATTGAGCTATATCACCTATGAAATGAATACCCATGTTACATTTGTTTATATTTATAAATCAGAGTAATAATCCTTTTTGAGGCTTCCCATTTTATGAGTAAAAGGGAGTAATAAAACATTGTATTCTGATTTTGTTAGCAGTGGTTAATGGGAAACAATGCAAATAACTGGTGTAGAGCTCACCTGGTCAGAAAATAGGTGTGTAGCACTTCAGCCTTTACAGTGTCATGGCCAGTAAAGAGAACCACAGTTCTTCCTTTAATAAATTTGTTTTCTATTGGCGTTATGCCTTTTTTAGTTAATGACATTTCATCAATTAGAATAAACATTGACTAGGTGTGATGGCTCACGTCTGTAGTCCCAGCATTTTGGGAGGCCAAGGCAGGCAGATCGCTTGAGTCCAGGAGTTCGAGACCAGCCTAGGTAACATAGTGAGATCCCATATCGACAAAAAAATTAGCTGGGCATGGTGGCACATGCCTGTAGTCCCAGCTACTCAGGAGGGTGAGGTGGGGGCATCGCTCGAGCCTGGGAGGAGGAGGTTGCAGTGAGCTGAGATCATGCCAGTGCACTCCAGCCTGGGTGACAGAGGAAGAACCTGTCTCAAAAAAAGGAAAAAAACCCCACCAACAACAAAATAAACATTGATTGCTGTAATAGGATCCTCTGATAATTGAAGGAATCAAAAAGTATCATTGTTCTTGCCTCCCATTTAGAAATACATACATTGTATTAGTTGGCCCACACAAATGCACTACCTCTATCCGATCTGTTACTGTCATGGCAATGCTGGGAAGAAGTGTTAGTGGGCTGTCTTATATTTAAGAGAATTCTTAAAGAGAATGGTAAATCTGACTTAATTGTATTAAACAAAGAATTATTACTCAAGAAGCATTTGCATATTGTGTACATTTAAGTAATGTACCAACCCCCAAAATTTAAAAGCCCATTTTTCAGTAGCTTAGAGGAGATAAATTTGGCTGTCTAAACTGGAGTTTCGTATCATATGACATCTTCTCAAATATGCGTATTTGCTGCTTTGGGCCATTTCATCCAACTAAGGCAAGCTGAATAGCCATAATTAAATAGTATTCTTTGTTGCTTTTTATTTTAAAAAGGCATATAAAACTTGAAACATAGTTCACTGTATTTTATATTTATAATTTTAATAATTTTGGTTTAGAATAGGGAATTCCAAAGTGATACTTGAGTTCTCAATCATGGGGTGAAGTTTCTGTTAATGGTTATCTTGTTGAATTAGTTTAACTAGTGTAAAAAAATTGTCATCCTCAGTATATTCTCAATATATCTCATTGATATGAGACATAATTGATTTCCAGTGTTCCTTAAAAATGGTTAGAGATTTCTTCTGTTAAAAAAGTTGTTAATGCTATTGGTCCCAGATTTCCCTTCTTTACATCCTGCCAAAGGAAAAAGTGCTACGTACTTATTTTGTGTCCTGAGATGTTATACATGCTTAATAAGATCCCAGATTGTAAGTAGCAGCTGTCATTGATTTGTTTACAGAATGAATTTTTCATGCTTCATTGTATTTGTGCACAGAACTACTCTGATGACTCTTTACTTAAATAATAATCATAGTGCACATACTTTTTTAAAAAAGCAACACAGCCAAATCAGGAAATTTTCTGGGAGTCTTATTAGTTCACTCAAATGCTATTATTATTTTTATTTTTTATTGTTTGATAATTTGATAGGAATCCCTTGGTCAAATTGTATCTGTCTCTCTTTATCCCATTTTACCGTTAGAAAATGTTTCGATGAAAGATCCTCCGGACTTATTGGACAGGCAGAAATGCCTGAACGCCTTGGCGTCTCTTCGACATGCCAAATGGTTTCAGGTTGGCTTTTTGTTACTATCTTATTGTTATTAAGCTTTGCGCAAGTTTCATTTGGAACACCTGCCACTTAATTGGTTTCTGTGTACTACATAAAATGAGGGGTGCTTTCTAGCTCATAGTGTGGTTGTTGGAGTAACTGAGTTAATTTAGATATGTGCCTAGTATAGCTTCTGTAGTTCATGATGTTTTATTATCATATAATTCTTTTTGGCCTAGTATTCTGAATTTCAGATGGTTGCTTATAAAATCAAAATGCGTGAGAAAAGATAAAGGTTAAATTAGTTGGTTGCCTGGAGTGGGGTTGCCATGAGACTAAGAAATGAATTTTAATATTATGGTCCTTTTATTTTTAAAATGTACCTTTTAAACCTCAATTTTACTACTTTTGATTAATTGGTTTTTTTTTGTTTGTTTGTTTGCTTGATAACTGATGAATAATTTGCTACTTAGTATTCACTTGAAAGAACCTGCCCAAAATGAAGAATAGATCTCAATAGGGATATCTGGAATCATTTTGTTTGTTTTAGGCAAGGGCAAATGGATTAAAATCATGTGTAATTGTCCTCCGCATTCTGCGTGATTTGTGCAACAGAGTCCCCACATGGGCACCATTGAAAGGATGGGTAAGTACTTAAATATGGCTAAAAGCAAATTTGGAAGCTGCAGCAGAGAAAATCCTATAGAAATGAGATGTTACTTTAAAATGGCTGTCTCCTAAGTTAGTTAAGGCATGCATTATGTATGTTTGCCATGAAAATAATAAAGCATCTTTTTAAATGAATCCTCCTTTTGTGCATATAACCTGCCTCTTCTACTTCATTGTGTTCATGTTACAGAGCTTGAAATATTTTTTTCTGACAAAAAGGTTTTATATCTTTTAGAAGTGAGTGTCTTCTTACACTGGTGGTTAATCACTTACTGTTCACCTGCTGCCCACAAAAGCCTCCTTGGCTGACCCACTTCTCTTTTGGTGCCCCCTTGTATTACCATGAAAATTACCCAGTAGGCTAGTATAAGGATCCTATACCTCTGTAGCTTTCTCTTTGAGTGGAGACATTTACAAATAAGTTCATGTTAGTAATTAAAGTCAGGCAAACAGTACACTTAACCCCATGTGGATATCATTTATATATATTGTAAAATTGACTTAACTTGGAAATTATGCCTGCTCCAATCAAGACAACTTAAGAACATTGTGAAACAATTTAAATAAAGCCATGAAAGATCATTTTATAAATGAATGTAGCAATGATTACTTTGACAAAATATCATGAGTTCTTAGTTTATTGAATCTGGAGATTTGGTCCTTTGTTCTAATTGTAATACTTGAGACAGGCTGTCTGAAATGAAGTCTGATTATTATATTGAAATATTTGTGGTTTGTGTGCTTCCTAAGTGGGAGATAGGTGGGCTGGGTTTTGCACACTGGCTAGTTATTAGCTATTACTAACTTATATGAGGGCTTGTTAAGTCTTTGTTAAATGAATTAGAGACCATAGTTTCTTTAGTGATCGTTTCTGGGTAAATAAATAAAAGTTTTTGTTACAAAAATGTCTTCTGAAGATACAATCTTAAAAATGCTTGATTTAAAAACTCTGCCCAGGGTAAAGGTTGATAATCATGGGGAAAATGTTAAGTGGGCCCTAAATATTAAATTGAATTGCACTCTTTGGCCTCCCGTGTAGATAGAAATGTTAGCTCACATTTAACTGGAATCCTTTTAACCCTTGGTGCATGTACTAATTTGTAATTTAATATCTTCTAGCCACTAGAACTTATATGTGAAAAGTCTATAGGTACTTGTAATAGACCTTTGGGCGCTGGGGAGGCCTTGAGACGAGTAATGGAGTGTTTGGCATCTGGAATACTACTTCCTGGTAAGGGTTTCAAACTCTGGAAGCAGAATAATCAGCAAATCTCAGTTTACTTTATTTTTTCTAAATATATGCCAAGTTTGTCCTCTACACAGGAAAATGTTGCATAGGAGTTCTTTTGCTTGGAATTTTGACAACTAGAATGCGTGTTGGAAAAGTGCTATTAAACTCTTTTTCAATAATTGTAATTTGTGTTTTATATGTACTAACATAAAGGGTACTAATAATATATTGTGTCTGCTTTGAATTTGCTTTATCTCGAACTCCGAATTTGAAATTGCAGATGTTTAGTTAAAATGTATGAAGTTCATTCTGTTTGTAGTCTGGTTTTAAATTTGGAAGAATTAAATTTGGTCTTATTTTCCATATGTAATCCGTTTTAAGATTTGGGCTGATTCATTGTGCTGTTTCTAAATTCTCAGAGTAAGACTCAGTTTTGGCCTTAGATATACAATGACTTCCAGTATAAAATAAGGACATACAAGTGCTAACATGTTGAAAATGAGAGTGTGTCCTTTTTACTCCACTTAACTGAGCAGACTTTTAACTTAGTTCCTCAGTTTTTGTTTTCATTTTCTCTTTATTCTCCCCAACTGTCTCTCTTTTGTTTCAGTTTACTGAATTCTAAATTCAGTTCTAAATGACACTTGTGTTTTTCCTTTGCCAAAGGTGGTCCTGGTCTTCATGATCCTTGTGAGCGAGACCCAACAGATGCTCTGAGCTATATGACCATCCAGCAAAAAGAAGATATTACCCACAGTGCACAGGTAGAAGATTGAGCATGCCACTCTGACTTACTAGCGAGATAAAATAACTTGATTTTCTCAATTGTTGTGTTCGAACACTTTTTTCTTGTGTGTTGTTAGGGACTTCTGCTGTTATAATGTCAGAATTTATGAGTGTCTTTTTAGCTAGATGTTCTAAGGGCTTTATGAATGGCTACTGAAATGTGATTAAATATAATGCTTTGTTCTTTAGCACGCACTGAGACTATCAGCCTTTGGCCAGATTTACAAAGTGCTGGAGATGGACCCCCTTCCATCTAGTAAGCCTTTTCAGAAGTATTCCTGGTCAGTTACTGATAAAGAAGGTGAGTGTGGAAGTTTTTTATTAGGGTTGGGGGTTGGCACTGGTAGAGATGATCATGGGATGCATCTCTTGTTACAACTTGGGGAACTTAATAATTGTGCATCCAAATCATGTATAAGAAGCTTTCTTCCTGACTGATGTGGGTTGGCTGTGTCCCCACCCAAATCTCATGTTGAATTGTAGTTCCCGTAATCCCCAGAAGTTGTGGGACGGACCCAGTGGAAGGTAATTGAATCATGGAGGCGGTTACCTCCATGCTGTTCTTGTAATAGTGAGTGAGTTCTCACAGGATCTGATGGTTTTATAAGAGGCTTTCCCCCAACTTCACTCTGCACGTCTGCCACCGTGTGAAGAAGGATGTGTTTGTTTCCCTTTCTGCCATGATTGTAAGTTTCCTGAGGCCTCTCCAGTTATGTGGAACTGTGAGTCCATTAAACCTCTTTCCTTTATAAATTACCCAGTCACTGGTATGTCTTTATTAGTAGCATGAGAATGAACTAATACAGTAAATAGAACGGACTAATACACTGACTTTCTTCTCTTCTGTTCCCATCAGGTAACATCAGCTGATGTAACATAATCATGTTTTCTTATTAGTGACTAACTCATTTGGCTATGTTGGCCAAATGCCATTACTGCATAGACTATCGTTTCAGAACCCCTGGTCTAAGGAGAATAAGTCAACCATAAGCTAGGAGGAGACATTATCACGATCACTAATCAGTTTGGCTTTCTTTCTCATGCTTGGAAATGTTATCTAACGGCAAAGGAAAGAACAAAAATACAGAGGAGAAGAAAAGCATATTGGAAAATTCAGGATTATCTTCCATTTGTATTAGTCTGTTGAATTCAGAGTTTCAGTGGAAAGAATGTAGGTTTTGGGGTCAGTATGACCTGGGTTCCAGTCATAGCTCCACCACTTCCTAGTTTTAGGCCTTGAGCAATTAGCTTATCTCTCTCACTAGGGATACTACCCTCTTTCTTATTTTATTGACTCTTGTCCAGTTAAAATGCCTGACTTAGTGCCTAGAGTACAGTGGATACTCAAATGTGAATCCACTTACTGCCTTCCTTAGGCCTCAAAAATATTTTTCCTCTCCCTTTCTCTCCTTTTAAACTAGAAAGTGGAATATTTAATACCAGATATTCTTCACCTGGAATGCAGCCTACCTCTAACAATGGAAATTATTCTACTTTTAGATATCACCAAAATAGTGCAGTTGCCCAGTCTGCTTATTTAGATGACAGAATTCCAGTGGGTCTGAAGACTTTCAGAGAGTCTACAAGATCAGAGCTGTTTAATAGTAATAATAATATTAAGGGTTTTTTTTTTTTTTTTTTCCTTTTTCACTCTTTCTTTCCTAAGTGTATAGTTTCCAGAGGCTACATGTGACATGTGATGAGATCATTGCTCTGATGGCTAATGGAATGTTTTCTTTTCTATACTCTTGTGTTTAAAATTGGTTTGTTTTATTTTCAGTATGCTCAATATTGACAGATGTTACCCACAAAGCATAGCACTTTGGGTGCTCAATAATTTTTTAATAGTGTAAAGTGCTCCTCAGCTAAAAAGTTTGAGAATCAGTGCCTCACTGTAAACTCCTCAGGGGAAAGAATCCTGCAGATTCTATTCTATGATTGTTATAAACCAATGCTCAATGTAACTTGAGGAATGAAGACTGTTTTCTTCCAGCAGGTGCTTGCTTAGTGGTGAAGAAATTATTGAAAGGGATTTACATACCCATGTGACATCAAGCATTGTCTGTGGAATGATTGAATAAAAATGTTACAAATATATCTAGATTCTTATGATTAGTATCAGAAAATTTTATTTCAGTCACCAAATTCACAACCACTCTTTTGGTTTTATATTTTCCCCTTCACTGGATAGTAAAAGGATGTTTACTATTATGTGACTTAGTTTTTTTTTAACTTTAAAGATCTTTCTCAAAAGTTTGGGAACTGCTGGTTTGTCAGTTGATAGCGTAAAATAGAACCAGACTGCCCGTGTTCCTGTTCTGGTTCTGTCAAAGTTACATGGCCTGGGCAAGTCACTTTACCATTTTGTGCTTTGGCTATACAATGATCTCTCCAATACTTTCATGCTTTCAGCACCTAGCTTCCTGACATTCACGTTTAAACTTTGTTCCTGTTATTCTTGGTGATTTCCATATGCATCTCAGATGATTTTTTTTCAAGACTCTAATGTCTCAGTTCTGTGACTTCTTCTCTTACACATATTTTATCTTCTGCCTTACCTTGGTTACTTATTCAATGGACATAGCCTAGGTCTTGTCTTCATCAGTAACTCTACCTGTATTATTTCCGTAATTATGTTCTCAAGAATCCCACTTTCCAATCTCTTGTCATTACTGTGTCTCCTACCCTTATTTCAGTTCTGGAATCTTGTCATTGATTCCAATACTTTTGCATAGTCCTTCATCCTCCTCGTGTTCTCTCTTCTGTCCTTACTGTGCTTATACTACATGATCCTTGATTATCTCTCCCTAGCTCATACCTTCACTTCCTTGATCCTCTGTTTCTGGCAAAATTCTAACTGTTTGAAATCCATCTCTCTACTTTCTCTGTGTTTGTACTGGGTTGTTCAACATGGTTGGAGAACAGCCATCTTGACTGTTCTCCCTTTAAGTCAGTGACACTAATCTAATAGGGACTATTTGTGTTGCCAGGCAATCCTGTAAGTTTGAGACTTCTCCTGTTTCCTAGATAACTGTTCCACATTTTCTCACATTTCACACCTCCTTCTCTACCTCCTTACTCATCTGATGAGCTTGTTTGCTTCCGTTTTGTCAGATAAATAATTAAGAGATAACTTCTATATATTCTCACCACTGTCTCCAAGCCCCACTGCATCAACTCCTATCTTTGCTTTTCCCTCCCTTGCCTATGCAGAAACTGCCTTGCCTCTTAAGACTGACCTTTCTACTTATCCACTATATCACATCCCCTCTTGCCTACCAGTGGACATTGTTCCAGAAGTTATCTCTTCTCTCACTAGTGTCAGTTCCTCCCTGTCTACTGAATGCTTCTCATCAGCCTAAAAACCTGCTGCAGTGTCTCCCATCTGAAAGACAAAAGCCCAACAAACTCTCCCTTCATTCCCTAGGTCCCGCAACAGAGTTGCGTTTCTCTCCTCTTTATAAGCAGCACTTTGGGAAAGAGCAGCCTTTTTCTCTTTTCTCCATTTCCTCACTTTGAATTCTCATTGAACCTGTTCTAATCAGGTTTTCTTCCTCACCACTTGCCTGAAGTATCCCTTGTGACCTTCACGTTACTGCATTCACTGGTTAGTTTTCAGTCCTCATCTTAGCCATTTTCAGCAACATTTGACACAGAGGAACACTTTTCTCTCCCGTATTTATTTTATAATGAGATATAGTGCATATATAGAAAAGTACAAAAAATACAATTTAAAAAATAATTATTTTTTTCAAACCCGTAAAACCAGTGCCATGGTTAAGAAACAGAACTTTATCAGTGCCCCAGAAGCCATCTGTTTTATCCTTCTCATTACCTTCCTGTACGAAGAAGTACCATTTCTGACTTTCTGAAAATAAATCCATTTCCTAGATTTTCTTTACGAATTTTCCACCTGTGTATGCTTTCCTAAATAATTTGAGTTTGCCTGGAACTTTCCAGAAATGGGTCCTAGGTTTAATCTTTTGTGACTGGCTTCTTTCTGTTCAGCATTCTTTGGGATTAATTTATGTCGCTGCACATAGATATAGTTCATTTTAATAGGTATGTAGTATCCATTATGAATATACTACAGTTTACTCATTCTACTTTTGAAGGACATTTAGGTTCTTTAGTTTTGACAACCACCTGCCGTGTTGCCATGAGCATTCTTCTGCATGCCTCCTGAAGTATACACATAAACAACCTAGTAAATGGTTGCACATACCAATTTACAGTCCCACCAGCAGTATATGAAAATTCCTTTTGCCCTGTATCTTCAACAACATTTGGTATTGCCACGTTTTCTGAAATGAAATGCCACTTTTCATTTGACTTTCAAGTCATCAGCTTCCTTGGTTCTTCTAGCTCTGTTGCCATCTCCTCAGCTGTCTTTGTTCTTTCTCATCTTCCTGACTTCTGAATGTTAAAGTGTCCTAGGGTTCAGTCCTCAGACCATTTCTCTTTATTTACACTGATGCTTTGGGGGACCTCATTTAGTCTCTTGTCTTCAAATACCTTTTTATACTGAAGATTGTCCCAAATTAATACTTCCATCCTAGACTACCAGCTCTTGAACTCAGACCCAAGTATCAAAATGCCTCCTCAATATAGCTACATGATGTCCAGCAGTCATCTCAAACTTAAGATGTCTAAGATCTAAGCTCCTGCCCTTCCTCTCCCTTTGCTCTTCTCTTTCTATAGTTATCTCTGTCCCAGTCGTTGGAAACTCTCTGTTTGCTCAGGCCTGGATTCTTTGAGTTGCCCTTGAATCCCCTCTTTTGTTCACCGATACCCCAACCGTCAGCAAATCCTTTTTGGTTTTAAAGTGTGTCCAGGCCGGGTGGTAGCTCACACCTGTGATCCCAGAACTTTGGGAGGCTGAGGTGGGCAGATCACTTGAGACCAGGAGTTCAAGACCAGCCTAGCCAACATGGCAAAACCCCATCTCTACTGAAAACATAAAAATTAGCTGGGCATGGTGGCATGTGCCTGTAATCCCAGCTACGTGGGAGGCTGAGGCAAGAGAATCGCTTGAATCTGGGAGGCAGAGGTTGCAGTGAGCCCAGATCATGCCACTACACTCCAGCCTTGGTGACAGAGCGAGACTCTATCTCCAAAAAAAAAAAAAAAAAAAAAAATAGAATTTAGCTTCTTCACTGCTAACATCCTTATCTTAGCTGCCATCATCTCTCACCTGGATTCTTGCAGTCACCTCCTGTCTGATCTTTTTGCTTCTGTTCTTGCCCTTCTATCTGTTCTCCACAAAGAAACAATTCTCTTTGTGGAGAACGCCACCCCCCT